AGACTGTGCTCGCTATATGTAAGTGGCTACTTCATCAGTAATAGTGCTCAGTGAGTTGTTCATGATGTCCAAAAAGCAGTCGCCTTACACCGTAAAACAGTTCCTGAACCAGAAGAAGAATGCCTTGACGAAAGCTGACAAGTCGTCCAAGGGCTCCTGGGATGCAGCGACAATACCTCTTTGTGATCTCATCAACTCCAGTGATGATTACTATACCACTAGCAGCTGCAGTGGGCGGGTCCAGGTGAGCTCCGAGTATACGCATTAGGTCAACTCCTGTTGTTCAGGTCTGGGCTGGAGAGTCAACACAGAGTAAAACCGATGGGCATTTTATGCACCGATACGGCATATCCCACGACTACGTCCCTTCCGATTACCTACACAATCTGCCAACCCCCGAAGAGGAACCCTTCCTGTGGCTTAAGGTAGTAGGGTATCCAAAATCTTCGCTGTGCGCAGCCTTTGTCATCAGTTCGAACCGATCATTCTTCATGTCGCCTGCAGTTCTCTGGAGACTGCGATGAAACTCGTTAGGGGTTTCCGCACTGTTTTACCTCTTAGTATGATACGCAGTATTCAGGTAGGACAGGAGGCTATAGGACTAAGTCATATATCAATAAACTCAGGCGAGCTCCCCTGAAGACTGTAAGAAGGTTCTCATTGCTGTTGAAGGGGAGGATCGCATCGATGCTCCCATTCGAGTCCAAGGCCAGGACCTGTAGGACATACCACACTTTTGTCGAATTAGTGTCATTACTACATACTGTTGGAAAATATGATCGCTTTCCTCAACCGGGCTCAAGAATTTCCTCATATGCGATTTCGGGTAGAAGTGTATAAAACCACCGAAAATTTTCTCGAAATTTTCATACACATGTGGTCGAGCATGTGCATATTATCCAACGACAGATACACCGGTCCAGCAGCGGACTGGTTGGTCAAGGCAGCCAACGAGAAACTGCGGAGGAACTTTGAACGCATTGACGAAGTGACCGAGGCCGTGAAGAAGGTCTTGGAAGGCGTGGATATGCCCACTGGCGAAGACTTCACTGCTTCTGATTAAACCATCTTGATGCGAACGATAGTTTCTCCACAAAGTGTAG